TATGGCGGAATAGAGATAGGACGAGTATCTATAATGATGTCTATACCGAAGTCTATTTCTCTCTCAGGAGGGACTCCAGGAAAATCATCAAGAAAGACTTCTGGACACTCTTTACTACTGAAATTGACTGAATAGGAGGTATCTCAACAATAGAGTCATTAACTCGGACTAAGTGATAGACTCAACCCTTAGAAACTAACTTTCTCGCCTTAAGGTATGAAATGAAACGACCCTTAGGCACTGCTGAACTGCTACTCCACTCTATAAATGGCTCATTAGGAATTTGGAACCTAACAACTCGAGTTCTACAATCAATTGAGGCATAACGTGCATGAAGCTAGTCTATACAAAGAATGACATCACAATCTACCATGTCTTACTCAACTAAATCAGTCATGGTGTTCTTGTGATTGATGGAAATGACACCATCACGATATACTCGCTCAGCTAGAATAGACTCTCCAACAGGTGTAGAAACACAAAAGGGTTCACAAAGTTTCTCAGGAAGAACATTAAAATTATTTGCAACATAAGGAGTCACATAAACTTTCTCCTGGGTCTAGCAAAGCATACACATCAAGAGTAAAAACTTTGATCATACAAGTGACAACATCTGGAGAATTCTCTTGTTCTTGACGACTAGTTATTGCATAAAGGCGGTTTGCTCCTCCGCCAGTACCGAAAGTAGCTCCTCTAGGTGCAGCCCTTTCTGGTGGAGCAACTGATGAAGATTGGGCTCTATTGCCCTGATTTCCATTACATTGCCAATTCTTAGGGTACTCTTTCATGAACTGACCATCTTGTCCACACTTGAAACAACCTGTGGAGCCATCACGACATTTACCTGGGTGGGTTCTACCACACCTAGCACATACAGGAGCCCAATTACCTCTTTGTGCCACACTACCCTATGACTGTGTAGGTCTAGCTCTGAAGTGCTGTGAATTCTGACTATTGTACTCACCTTTGTTTCTGGGTTTAGGTGCACTAGCAGATGATGGAGCAGGTCCCTTTTGCTTTTGTTGGAAAGAAGACCGGTTCACATTATTTCTTTGCTGCCCGGACTCATTCCATGTCTTCGCTTTCTTGTTTCCAAACTCCTCTCTATCCCTTAGCTTCTTTTCATCAACCTACTGCACATAGACTATCAACCATGCTATATCCATGTCTCCAATTAGCATGGATGTCTTGCCCTCTCTTCTTGACAGACAGGACAACCCAATAACAAAAAGACTCATCCTATTTCTCATATCCCCAACTATCTTCGGAGCATATCGGGAAAGTTGGGTGAACTTCAAGTTGTATTCATGAACACTTAGTGAGTCCTTCTTAAGGGTGAGAAACTCTCGTACCTTGGCCTCTCTCAGTTCTCGGGGAAAGAAACGCCCCAAGAAGGCCTCCTCAAAACAAGCCCAACTCACAGGTGGTGCTCCCTCAGCTCTACCCTTCTTCCACTGGTCAAACCAAGTCCAAGCAACAATCTTCAGTTGATATGCAGCTAGTTCTACTCGTGCACTCGTGCAGCATCAGCAACATGCATAACCTCAAATACCTTTTGCAATTCCTCAATAAAATTCTTTGGATCCTCAGTAGTTCTTGAACCAGTGAAACTTGGAGAATTCATCCTCAAGAACTCTCGAATCCTCGAAGTATCAGTCACTTCCTGTCTAGCTCCTCTTTGTTTCCCAACCTGGTTAATCACAGCTTGGTTTAACATTCGAATTGCTTCCCTGAGCTCAGCATTTGTTACTTCTCCTTGGGGTTGCACTTTAGGTGCATTAGGTACCCCTTTCTCCTTCAACGTTCCTCCTAGCAGGACGACCTCAAACAGCTCTTCGTGGAGGCCTGATTAACTGAAAGACATGCACAAGCACAAATTTGAAGAAACTTTTTAGAGATCAAACTCTAACGCACGAAATGAGTGTGAAAGAAGTGACGTAATTTCCAAAGTGTTGCACCCTTCTAATTATAGATGTGGTGCGCTTCACACTGATAACTAGGACTCTACAGACACTTCTTCATAGACTCCCTAGGACTCTTGAACTATGTGCTCTGATACTAAGTTTATCAAGCTCCGAGCCTACACCCTGGGCGGGACTGGCACTCGAGAATCATTTCTGGCCCCAAACAAACCATAGGCCTCGCTAGACTCTCAGCGGAAGACTCTAAGCATTATTACAATGATCAAATGCACTTATAAAACAACTGTCTCAAATTAAACTCAGAATGTTTAAGGATAAAACATTCAACTAGCCATAGATGGCAACTCAATTCTTAACATAAGAAATAACAATGTAAAGATAACTGAACTATTAACTATCTATGAAGCCTCTAAAACAAGGAGGGATGTTGGGACAAGACCCCCGATCATCCTAACAACTAAATTACTAAATCAATGTAAAAGGAGCCCTCTAGAAAGCAAGGAGGCTCACCAACTAACTCTGAGTGCTCAACTGGATCAACGAGGTGCTGGATGTTGTTCATGGTTACCTGTGTCTGCATCATAAAATGATGCAGGCCAAATGGCATAAGTAAATTAAACGTACGAGTATGCAAGGGGAATACTAAATAGAGATAAGCTTGAAAGGAATCTATAAAGAACACTTACCTTGGCTTTACTCAACTCATGAATAACTCAACTCAAATACAAAGTAAAACGAAAATAATGGTGCAGTTATACAAAGCATTTAAAACAGTAGTAGCAACTCAATTTGTTAAGAAATGCAATAACAACTCAGTTTACATGTATAGTAATATAATATTGTGGGAGTTTCTCTAACCGACAGCCACCACTATGAGCCTAAGTGATGATACAACATCTTTCCCACGCTGTCAGAACTATCCTATACTTGCTGTCATATAGAACGCCTTAACTAAGTGGATCTAGTAGTCTATGTGAAAAAAGCACTTAAGGAATCATCTAAATAGTATCATCCTTTTCTACCCATGATGGCTACATGGTTTATGGACACTTGAGTTATTATGAACTCGTGTCCCCATATCGGTGTTCAATACTACTCCCAAAATATACTCACCTCATATATTTTTAAAACAAAACTCTTTCTTTGGTTTGAGATAATTACTCAAAACTTAGCTTAAAAGCTCTCTTGGAAATCGGTGTTTCCTTTCTTGCTCAAATGTGAAAACATTTTAACTTTTGGAAATACTTAGTTCCCAAATAATCTTTGAAGAAATGAACTTTACTCTTACTTTTAACCTTTTGACTTGACTCTTAACTTTTCTTGTATTGAAGTATGGATTCAAGGCTCATGATCTCATGTTAATGATGATTTCATGATGTTCAGACATACCTTAAAGTACAGAAATCGACTTGGAAACATAGGTAGGATGCTAAGGAACTAGTACGGAAAAAAGGGGAAAATTAGGAGAACTGGCATCCCTGGTGCGAGGCGCTAGCCTTGAAATTTCAAAGGATGACTTGGGGCGCGACGCCCCTGAGGTCATATTTCAGGGGATGCTTTGGGGGACGTTGAGAGGTGCGGCGCCCCAACCCCTTCCCCAGATTTTCAACGAAATTCCTCCTTCATTTTTCAACTCTAAACCCTCTAATTTCACTTGGTTCTTTTCCCAAATACTTAGAATCGACTTTATGTTCAAAATACACAAGATTCTACTCGAAAACACACCTAAATTCATGAATCAATCTCAAGAAACTTCAACAACAAGAACCCACAAGATTTCAAACGAATTATCATCAAGAACTCATAAGATTTGCTTTCAAAACAATAGAACTTCGCTGAATTGAATCATGATTGGTGCGTGGGTGAACTAACCCAACGCTATGTGATCTCACATACCTCGTAGGGATTAACCCTTGGCGAAATCAACACGCAATTCTCCAAGAAATCGACGAATCTTGACTTTTCTTCTTCTTTTCTCCTATTTTCTCCTTTCTCCAAGCCCTAGCGTGAATTTCCAATTTTCTAAACTGATCTAATTCTGATTAGATCCCAACTAAACCCCTAAAAACGAAATAAAATAATTGGGTAAGGAAAAGACCAAACTACCCTTCCAAAATCCGGATTAGACTTTTCTTATTTGTACAACCAACTTCAAATAGGCATATCTCACTCATACGAACTCCGTGAATTTCCAATTTTCTAAACTGATCTAATTCTGATTAGATCCCAACTAAACCCCTAAAAACGAAATAAAATAATTGGGTAAGGAAAAGACCAAACTACCCTTCCAAAATCCGGATTAGACTTTTCTTATTTGTACAACCAACTTCAAATAGGCATATCTCACTCATACGAACTCGGAATCGCGCAAACTCGGCTAAGTTGGAAAGATAATTCCAAGATCTTTCCTACGGTATCTGGAAGAACACATAAATCATCCTGATCTAGGAGTTATGGTCGTTTGAAGTTGATCAAAAACTCAAACTTAACTAAACCAATTTTCCAGATTTTTCATTCTTTTCTAAAATTACTCTTTCTAGTTCTTTCAAATAGCGAGATGTTATAAAGTTACTCGTCAAAGGCTCAAATATGTCATCGAACTTTGATAAAAGACTCATTTATGTCATCTGTTAAATGTTTGGTTCATCTATTCCATTTCCGTTTGAGAAAAGGCATATTCATGCCATTATTTGTTAAATGAAATGGCATAGATGAGCCAAACTTTTGACGGATGGCATAGATGAATCTTTTCTTAAAGTTCGATGACATATTTGAACCTTTTTCCTTTTTAAAAAAAATGACTCAATTAATGATGTGGACGAATCATAATCGACCACGTATACCAAATAAATCTCTATTATTTTATATGTGAGGTTCTAAAATTTTATCATAAAAGAAAGGTTTATTGAATTTTTATTTATTTTATATGTGAACTTGCTAAAACTTCTACCATGAAAGAAATACACAATAAATCTAATTTCTCCGTTCCCACCCTGCATAAAAGGTACCTTATTCATTACTTTTCCCAATTTGTATATTCATTACTTTTCTCAACTTGTTCTTATTTGATAAATAAATGGTGGTCTAAATGCAAGTCAATACATATTTCTAAGTAATACAATGATAGAAAGAATGAAATCTGATTGTATTTTATGGTCAAAGTCAAACCCTTTTAAAAAAGGAATAAATATGAATATCTTTGACTCCGCAAAACATTAAGATAATTTTTTTTCACTGTAAATAATTCTTATGTTGAGACCAAAATCACATCTTATCTTAGCATTTCATATCAAAGAGTTTAAACATGCCAAGAAAAAGTATTGGTCGAAAGAGAATTGACATAATGAAAATTCTTAATGAAAGGCTCTTAAAAGTCACTTTGCCAAAGCGTCGCACTAATCTCTTGAAAAAGGCTAATGAACTTTGTACAATGTATGGTGCTGAAACAACCATTGAGAGTTTTACCCCAGATAACAATGCTTATCCATTTGGACACCCCTCTGAAGATCGAGTCGGGGATACTAATGCTAGTCGATTTCAAGGACTCGGCTTGGATGCTCGTGGGGCCATGAATTTAGTTTTCAATGATTCCTAAGTATTTTAATTTTTACAATTGTTGTTTTTGTTTATGTGTTTAAAATTATCTTATATAGACATAATTTCGTGAAAGTTTTATCCTCGTTTCAAGAATTTTAACAATAGTTTTGTATGGATAAACTATCCCTAATAAAATTCACAATATTTATGATTTTAATGTTTTTTTATGTTTACAGTGGAATGGGATGGAAAATATTTATTTAGTCTTATAGATAAATACCTATTCAATTTAAATTGTGTAGCATGGAACGAGGATACATATACATCTAAAATCTATTTAGAACCTAAGGAACAAACAACCTTACTAATCCATTTGATTTTGGAGGTGGCATTAGTAATCCAAATGGAGCAATGGATCCTGGATTAATAGATGATATGGATAAAAATGATTATTTGAATTATCTTTGCACCTTGGGCTATAAAAATGATATGGTTCAAAATGCAACTTTGTATTTTTTCGATATGAAAAATTCGACTATATGTCCTTACCTTCTAGGTTGGATTTGAATCTTCCTTCAATATCGATTCCAAATCTTAAGAATTCGATTATTGTTAGGAGAACTGTTACAAACGTTGGAGATGTCAACTCGATATATAAATTGGTGGTTAAATCTCTAAAATATACCACGATTAAAGTAAATCCAACTGTGTTGAAGTTCAATTCCAACACAAAGAAGATTTCCTTTGAGGTTGAAATAATATCAACTTACCAAAGAAAGAGTAATTTTAATTTTGGAAGTTTGGCATGGAGTGATGGCAAGCATTTTGTTAGAATTTCTATTGCTGTGAGAAAATAAATAGATGTAAATAATTCCATTTTGATGTTTTTTTCTTACTTCAATATTTATTTAATATGTTTTTTTTTTTTTTTTTGAGTTTATGATTCAACATATATTGTTCATGTTGCCTTTTCAAGAAGATTTAATACTTTGGACATCATTCATGCGGATATAAAATTTGGAAATATTTCATATATTTGTAAGGTTCTAATTTTATTTAATATAAAGTGGAGACAGGATAAAGCGTCCATAATAAAGGCGTTTACCGTATGTTCTTGATTCTAACACTCTTCAACCATTTTTAATATAAAACTATTTAAAGACATTGAATATTTCCTCAACTATTAATGCAATTACTGGTTCTAGTAAAGAATAAGAGCCAAAATCACACCTTTTTGTAATAAAAAAAGATCACACACGTATCAGAATATTTTGACCAACTGAACACATAAAATATTTTCCTTCCTAAGAATTTTAAAAAATAATCTTGGAATCATATCTCTAGTAAGACTTGAAAGAAAAACCCATGCATATATGAGGTACACATACAACTAGGGGTGTTCACGGTTTGGATTAAAACCGATCCAAACCGAAAAACCAAATCAAACCGATAAAATAAAACCGATTTTATTTGGGTTTGGTTTGGTTTGGTTTTAGATTTTTGAAAACCGATAGTATTTGGTTTGGTTATGGTTTTATTTGAAAAAAATCGAAGAAATAACCGAACCGAACCGATGAATTATATACATATATTTTATTAATATACATACTTAATATATTGTTTTTATAAACAATTTTAAAGATCTTATACATATTTTCATTAAAATTTCTTTATAATTTACTTATTGAAAGCAAAAATGCCCAAGATGAAATATTTATCTTATTGATTTCATGTATATGAGTGTCTTTTTAAATAAATTGTTTCTTTTATTTTTGTGTATGGGTTAATAACCGAATAACCGAACCAAACCAAACTGAAACCGATAATCACCAAACCGATAAATGTATATTATATTTGGTTTGGTTTGGATTTGATAATTTTAAAACCGATTAAGTTGGTTTGGTTTTGGTTTTGACCAATAACCGATCCAAACCAACCCATGAACACCCCTACATACAACCATATATATTTACTCATAATTAGGAATGGCAGAATGGGTAATTTATATGGATACTCATTCAAATTATCCAACCAATTCATTTAAAATACATAAAAAAATAAGTCAAACTCATATGACCCATGTAAAAGTAGGTAGTTAAATAGATAAAATGGACAAAAGAGACTCATTTATAAAAGAAATAAAAGTGGCATTAATATTTTTCTAAGGTGGTCGGGGGTAGAGATGGGTGGGATAAGGAAAAAAAATTGATTTTCTTTTTAAAAACAATTTTTTTGGGGGGTAAGGGGGAGGGGAGGGGATAGTGGTGGTGGTGTTGGTGGTGGTGTGTGTGGGGGGTGGGGGTCGAAGTAGTAAAAATGAATTTAATTTTTGAGGCGTTGGGGTTGGGTTGGAGTTGGAGTTGGGGTTGGGGTTGGGGTTGGAGTTGGGGTTGGGGTTGGGGTTGGAGTTGGGGTTGGGGTTGGGGTTGGAGTTGGGGTTGGGGTTGGGGTTGGGGTTGGGGATGGGGATGGGGTGGGGGTGATGAATGGGATAAGAGATTTTGCTTCTGAAGCTTTTAAGATGATCCCTATAATAATATGGGTAAATATGGATATCCATATTATTTATTGGGTAACTCATTTTTACCCATTTAAAATATAAGTTGAGTCGAGTATTTTACCTATTTTTATTTAACTCATTTTCGATTGACTCATATTCGACTCGACCCGCTCGTTTGCCACTCCTACTCATAATCAATCCATGATTTATCCATATTTTTCCAAGAACTACCTTGCTTTTTTTTAAAGTAAATAATAATAATGTTGCATATGCATACTTACGGTCGAGAAAAGGTCCATATGAAACACAATACATTACAACAAAAGCGATATTTAATAGTAACAAATATTTTGTTTAGCATTGTTGTAAAATATTTAGCGGCAATTGAGTTGATATTATTGTGTCCAAAGTCTCTAAGGTCTTTAGCGACATTTACATAAACTAATATAAATTATAAATACTCATAATTATTATTGCTACTAAAAATAATATATATAGCGACAAATGGTCCTAGCATGTGCCTCCTTCCTCCCACCCACCCCTAAAAAAAACAAAAAAATAACCCAAGGTTGGGTTATAATAAACAATTATCAGGCAAAATGACTCCTCCAGTATTTCCTCTAATATTCTTGCAAATAGATTGAGCTTTTTTGTTGTTCAAATAAGTAAGTTTTATGTCTTGTAATTTGATTCCACTACATGGATTGCTTGAACTGCATTCAAAATTCATTGCTACTTGTGTTGTTGATGTTCCAAATATATTTTGGTATGTCACTTGATTGATCTTTATGCCAGATGCCTGTCAATTCATGAGCAATTCATCAATACCAAGTAGAATCATCACTTAACTTATTTTATTGTTTAACTATAATATTTAATTATTTATCGTTGATTTCTATTTTTTAGATGTCAGGATAGAATAGAAGGTTAGTAGGTCCTACAAAATAAGCTTGCTGGTAGTTTGATGTACCATACGTGTTTCTCCTTTCATACCAGTAGTAATAACATTATTCTCATAGTTTCTTATCCTAGGATTTATGTTTGATTGTTATTTTTATGCTCTGATTATCATATTATTTGTCTATTGTACCGGTCTTTATTTATTGAATATTATGTAACGTTTTTCCTATTGTTTGTTACGTCCTATATTTTTAACACTATTTTGATATGCATTATTTAAGTTGAGGGTCTTTTGAAAAAATTTGTACCTTGACTAGATAAAAATAATTTATATGTATAGTACTCTATATTGTTCTCGAATTCAATATGTGAGATTATAATGGATATATTGTTATAGTTAGATTATTTTTTTTAAAAATATAGGAGTTACCTGGCTAGGACAACCTTGGTTGTTGGGGCAATAGTTTTGATCAATGATTATTGGATTGTCAACATTCTTCATTATTATGTTTTGATAATTAATATTTGTGACAAAACCAGTGCTAGCCCTTGCCCAAGACTTTATCCTTAATCCATTATCAGATCCAGTAAACACTGAATTAATTAATGTCACATTTTGCACACCATCTTCATTATAATCTCTAGCTAGACTTCCAATGCTGCAATACAAATCATACACAATAATATTAGGAATTTATTCAAAATCACTATTTTTCATAGTAAATAATATTCAGTGATTATTCTCATATACAGATATTTTGATTTGATTAGTGAGGAAAAAATAGTAATGTTATTATATGAAAATATTAGGAAATTTTTTATTATTTCAGTGATAATTTGTTTCTCACCATACATTTTTTCAATAAACTGGTTCGGTAAGAAATGTATGAAAAAAATCATGCTCTATGACACAATCTTTTTCACTTATTTATGGTGGGAATAACCATTATTTCTAATAGTCTGTGGACTTTCATGGATCGAAAGGTAAACTAAGGACAAATATAAAACAATTTATATATATAGAAAGGTATATCTAAACTATTTCCTCATTATAAAAAAATAAAAAATTGTAACTCTAAATTCCATATGTGTCACATAAATTGAAACAAAAAGAATAATATATATTAGACTCGTACCGATACGGACCCAATTTATGTGACACGTTTCGTTTTTCGAGAGTCAAACACTTTAAATTTGATCATGAATTTGCTCATGAGATCTTCAATTTTTTTTAAATGAAATTTATATATTTATAAACTACATAAAAAGTACTATAAGTCACAATAATTGACAATTCAAAATATTTAAAAGATATATGAAAAATTTATTGTCAAAGATAGACTTGTTTGAATCTTAAAATTCGAAATGTGTCAGATAAAATTGTGACAGAAGAATTTACCTAACACCATGTCCAGGGCCACATTGAATCTTGTCCATCCAAAGATTTCTTGTGGCAGGACCAATAGATATACAATCATCTCCAGTTTGAATACTTGTGCCACTAATAGTAACACCAATTGAAGATTGTACATGAATTCCATCAGTATTTGGACTAAAATCAGGTGCTATTATTCTTACATTTTTAACCATAACATTCTTGCAGCTATTAATCACCAAGTGCATTAACTGGCTGTTGAGTGAGGTTAAGCCACTAATCACAACATCATTTGCCCAATTGAAGGTTATAGACTGCATACAAAATCAGATATTAAAATACTATTCAATAAGAAATTAGTTAACAAGTTATTGCATACGTCTCAAAATAAGTGTCATTTCAGTAATAAACATAATGTATAGTTTACTAAACTACAAAATAATATTAAACGTTATTAAAACGATGAAGTATAAAGGACATAAAACAAGCTTCTAATGTATGTTAATAAAAAAAATTGCAGCATCACATGTTCAAATCACAAATGTGACATTTAGTAATTTTTTTGAATCCCTACATTAGAATTTTTTGATTCTACTGTTATTTTTTCATCCTTAATTAAAAGTCTGAATTTCAAGCTTTGAAAATGAAAACCTTCCAATAAGAGTAATTTAAGCGAATTCAAATTTGTCAGACTAGTAGATTCAAATGTGGAATAAAAATAAAACGCTATAAATTGAGTACATACCCTAGCTCCAACAGGACAATTCTTCCCTAACTTCCTACAATCCCAAAATCCAGCTCCATTTCCATCAAGAGTTCCTCCGATGACCGAAATCCGGTTAACCTTAATAAACAAAATCCAGTAGCCAGAGTTGCCAAGTGCATTATAATCGGATGGAGCCACAAGGGTTCCATCAATTTGTACAGTAATTTTATTTTTGCATGGCCCTCTAAAAGTAACCGACTTAATCATGTATTTTCCACGTGGAACATAAATGGTAGCCGCGTTTAGTGAGCTACACGCGGCTACCCAAGCTTTCAAAAAAGGTTGAGTTGCATCACTTTTGCCATCTGATTTTGCTCCAAAATTTAACACACTGAATGTTACTGAAGATGCATTTGAATTCAAGAAAATGAATCGAAATGAAAAGAAGACACAACACCAAAAAGTTACTAAAACCTTAGACATTTTATTGTTGTTGTTGTTGTTTTTTTTCTCTATGTTAGAGGATAGGGGAAAGGGGGTATTTAAAGTGTTTTTTAAGTAGTGGGACTGATTTTGTTTTGGATTATATTAAGGGCTCATATAGTAGGAGGGATAAGGAATAACTGATCTCGAAATTACTTTCAGAATGAGTATATTCTATGTTTTGGTTAGGATAACTTATTCTGAAACTAGTTATCTCGAGGTTATAATGTTATTATTATCTCACATCTAGGATGAAATAATAATTTTGGGATAACTTATTCTCCAACCAAACGAGTCGTAACTGTTTTGATTAGTTAATAATTTTAGAAATAATTGGACAATGATTAGAATCACAAAAGCTAACTAACCAATAAAAGGTCAGAGCTTACTTTAATTTCATGTTGTGATATGTACGGCAACCATGTGATAAGAGCATGTTTGCCTGTAGCATCTAACCATGTGCATGTACAAATGTATTTAGTCGTAGATTTTGAAGTTGAAACTTAAAAAATCGAGTTTTTGAATAAAATTGTATTTGACAAGATCGAATTTTCATAATTTGATCAAACTGATATTTGAAGATAAATCTTCAAAATCTAATTTAATGAACTATGATTAGAAACTAGCATAAATAGTCTTGTTTTTTTTTAATTTCTCACTCGATTTTGGGTACTTACAATGTCAACTAGTTTGAATTTGCATCACGTAAAAGATTTATTAAAAAGAAAGTGTTTCCTATTAAAATTTAACTCATCTTTAATGCTTAAACACGAGATTTCTAATTAAGTGGAGAAGAATCATATTCTAATGATAATTAATATAGTCAAGTAGTCATTTTAAAGTGGCATATTTATTTAGGAAAAAAAAGGAAAATTGCATGTGCCAAGTCAAAATAATTAAAGAACGGCTATTCAACGTCATATTTATGTAGAGCATAAATTGGAACTAAGGAATATGGAAGAGGAAATAAATTGATCAATGATTGTCTCATCATTGGTTCATTAATCCAAGTTATTTTTTATTTGATTTTTTTAGTACTGCTTGATAAGTTAAAAAATCCTAAATTAATATTCATCATTTTATCACAAAATGTAGAATTTTATGTAAGCAGTGGTGTCACTTTCAAGTTAAACTTTTATTAAAGTAAAAAAATATATAAAGTGATTTTGATCCCATGAATAGACCTACAAACACACTCTTAGTTAATTATCATCATTAAAAAAATCTTAAATATCTCATCAACTTTGAGAAAAGGTTCATCTATGTTATTCGTTAAAAATTTGACTCATCTATTATTTTTGTATAAAAAAAGATTCATTTATGTCAATATTTATTAACTTTGAGTGTCGCGTGGGCCTTCATTCTTGAAAGGGCTAAAAGTAGCGCCTTCGCTTTGTTTGTAATGAAAAGGAAAGATAAGATCTTTGGTTATCTTTTCCAGGGGAGGACTTTCTTGATCGCCTCATTCGGGTTAAGATGTGGCTAAAGTCTCTCCAAGGATATATTGTGTACTTTATGCTCGAGGGATGAAATGACATAGATGAGCCAAACTTTTAACGGATAGTATACATGTGTCTTTTCTCAAAGTTTGATTTGACATATTTGAGCCTTTTTCCTTTTTAAAAAATGATTTAATTAATTTCGTGGCTGAATCATAATTGACCACGTTAAAAAATGATTTTGCATAATCAAAACTATTTTCAATTAACAAATAATGGTATGAATGAGCTTTTTTTCTCAAACGAAAATGGCATAGATGAGCCAAACTTTTAACGAATCATATAGATAAACCTTAACTTTTTTCAAAATTCGATGACATATTAAGTCTTTTCCCTAAAATACTAAAAAAAAAATCAAAAAAAAAACGTTTTATATATGAATATTCTCCAAACAACTTAGAACTTTACCAACTTATAAAGGCAGATCTTAAACTTTAAGATGTAGCAAAGCCTCATCAACAAATTAGTCAGTTAAGTGCATGAATGTGACTGTAATTAAGTAAAACAAATTCATGTCATATTGTTTGATTTGACATGAAATTTAATTAAGAAAAAAAAAATTGAAACTTCTGATATAAAATAAATCAAAGATGTTTACATGAGTATAAATCTCATTAACGATAAAATGACCATTTTAAAGTTATATTGTTACAAAATATAGGATATGTCATTTTTTTTTTAAATTGACTGAAAAAAAAGTGTTATTTAAATTAAAACAGAGTATTAGTTTCTATTTTGTCAACGTTAATATTAGGCTTTAGTTGACAAATGAAAAAAAAAATAGACACATGGGATCAATGAGTGATGGAGTTTTTTCAGGCGAAATAATCGCCTTTCACATTCTTTCATATTACTAAAAAAAACTAAACAATTGGCTATATAGATAAGGAGTTGAGATTTCTCAAGCAAATTTTGGATCAACAAAAGTCAGGATTTTTAATAAAGGATATTAAAATACAAAGTAAAATAATATATATATATATATATATATTTATATATTATTGTTATGGATAAAACACACAATCTCAAATTATTAGTAACTTAATAAAAAAAAAAATTGTTTGAGATAATATTTTAAAAGTCAAGTAATTGTGTGAGAAATCAACTCGCACATCTATTATGTGTAAAGGAATAATATTCCTTGTATATATATACTTTAAAATTTTATTTCAAATTTGTTGATATGCTTGTAATCATACCCGCCCAACCCGACACAATTCATTTAGATTTGAATTGGGTTATGACCCGTTATCTAACTTGTTTTGATCCAGTCCAGTTTGGCCCAAAATCTTGATCTATTTATTGTCCTAATCCATTTTGATCCGTGATAATTTTAAGTATAGAATGTAATCACAGAAGATTTTTTTGTCCAATTCACAATAGGAGGAGTTGGATGATTGGGCACGTGGAAAAGTTCTTGACGTTTAAATTTTAACAGATATTACGTAGTGGATTAAAATCGTACTAATATTTAAAATATGAATGGATTATTAAAATTGTGATGTCACTTCTACTATTCCATTGGTGATTCCTACTTCACCTCCACAGGATGATACTATTTCAGCAGTGCCTCCTAATATCTCCCCACCACACATTAATGTTGTTCCTCCTTGTGTTGTACCTATTACTGATCCTGTTGTGCTCCCTGTACCATCTGGTGATGTGATAATGGATTCTAGGAGATCCACTAGGGCATCTAGACCTCCTATTTGGCAAAAGGACTATGTAGTACCTAAAGCTCATAATTGTATGTATCCAATTGGTAATGCTTTATGTTATTCTGGACTTACCAATCCTTCATAGCACACACATCCTTAGAAAACTGAACCTACATCTTATGGTGAAGCTACTAAAGATGATAGGTGGGTTGAGGCTATGAAAGCTGAAATTACAGCTTTGGAGGACAATAAAACATGGAAAGTTGTCACACTTCCACCTAATAAAAAGGCTATAGGTTGTAGATGGGTATACAAGATCAAGTATAAGGCCAATGGAAACGTTGAAAGGTTCAAGGCAAGGCTAGTTGCCAAGGGATATAGTCAAACAGAAGCCATCGACTACCAAGAGACTTTTTTCCCAGTTGTTAAGATGGTAACTGTGAGATCAATTCTTTCTATTGCAGCATCTAAAAATTGGGACATTCATCAAATGGATGTTTATAATGCTTTTCTCCAAGGAGATTTGCATGAAGAAGTGTATATGACTCTTCCACAGGATTATGCATGTTCAGATAAGGCAGGGAAGACATGCAAATTGCTAAAGTCTTTATATGGACTCAAACAGGCTTCGAGGCAGTGGAACATCAAGTTGACTACTACTCTCATTGAGTCCGGTTTCTCTCAGAGTCACTTAGACTATTCTCTCTTTACAAGGAAGGTTGATTGCTACATTGTAGTGGTTCTTGTATATGTAGATGATTTACTCATCACTGGCAGTCATGGTGGCCTTATTCAAGAGACCAAGGATTGCTTGCAGCGTGCTTTCAAGATCAAAGATCTTGGTCCCCTCAAATAGTTTTTGGATATTGAATTAGCGAGAAACAAAGATGGTATTCTCATGCATCAATGCAAATATGCTTTGGAACTGATTTCAGATGCTGGTTTATCATGATGTAAGCCTGTCTTAGCTCCTCTTGAATTGAACCATAAACTCACATCTGTTGAGTTTGATGTCCATGTTGGTTCCTCTGAAGATTCTTTGTTACCTGATCCTACCAGTTATCAAAGACTTATTGGTCGACTGTTATACATTACTATGACCAGACCAGATATTTCATATGTTGTCCAGAACCTGAGTCAGTATATGCACTCTCCCAAGTTGTCCCATATGGAAGCTGCTCTTAGGGTGGTGAGGTACTTAAAGTCAGCCCCTGGATTTGGTATTTTGTTATCTTTCCAGGCAGGGTCTACGATTCAGGCCTTTTGTAATGCAGACTGGAGGGCTTGCCCAAACTCCAGAAGGTCCATTACTGGGTATCTGATCAAGTTTTGTGATTCTCCTATTTCATGGAAATAAAAAAAACAGTTCACGGTCTCTAGGAGCTCGGCTGAGGCAGAGTACAGGAGTCTAGCCTCCATTGTTGTTGAACTAGTCTGGTTAGTTGGTTTATTCAAAGAACTTGGGGTCACTGTTTCATTGCCTATTCCTCTTCATTGTGACAGCAAGTCGGCCATCCAGATCGCTACGAATCCTGTTTTTCATGAGTGCAACAAGCACATTGATATAGATTGTCATTTCATTCCATGATGAGTAGCAGTTTTATAGGGTCGCCAAACATCCATGTGTACTAATTGAAAATTTTCAGAAGACTTGCTATGACTTATTGGAAAAGGAAGTCTACATTGTCTTGCTCGTGGACAGACATCACAATTGTTCAAAGTAGCAGAACTATGAAAAGGTAAAGCATAAACTCTCTTGAGAACTGGAATGGGAACATGCCCCATTCTTTGATGCCAAAGGTCCTCAGACGCCATGTTTTTTTGCTGATGAGCAACCCTTCCT